GTCAGCAGCCAAGAGATTTATGCGTCTGGTTGTCTCGACTTCGGTCGCTTCCTTCCGCTTTTCGTTCCTGCCACTTTCTGCGGAGCCGCAGCCTGCTGCATTAAACTTTTAAGCATTGTTTCCTAGCCTCCCAGCAACAAGGCGCGTATTGTTTTTAATTATTGTGGCAGTAGCAGCTGCGGCAGTGCTTATTTACAATTTAACTGCCGCTTATTTTGTTATTGAATAAATAGTCAAAACTTAAGCGGCAGCTGGGACGAGCCGCCCTCTCCGTCGACCGCCTGCGGCCAAATGCAATTGCACAATTCCCAATTGTGCGCAAAATACAATACTTGCATAAATGGTTTTTGGCAGAAACTCAAAAGACCCGGCTAGCGCATTGGAGCCATCTGCCGGAAACTGAGCAAGTGGCTTGGATACAGTCGCCTTGGAGAAAGTCAAGCTAATTGGGTGTAGCACAATGGGTGGCTCTGCCCAAAAGTAACAGAATTTGTATAGCTTTAGCTGGCCTTTAAGTAAATATTGGCACTATTGTGAAACTAATTTATAATTTTGTTATTTAATAACATAATATTTTCAATGGTAGCGGCCTATTTAGTAGGCCGACTTGTGTCTTTCTCGACACCACACCAACAATTTGAATTCTATTGAATCCTAATTCAAGCCAAAAAATGAAAGCCAAGTATCTCCACATATATTTATATTGATCTTATATTACAATTGTCTCACATGTATTATTCTATATCCTTAAGGGAACAATTTCTCTTAAACTGTCCTTTTTATGCTCACTGTACTATTGTTGCTATAAAGCTATTTTTCATATCCCAGCTTGGGTGTAGGGTAAATAAAAGCTCAATGGGTAAACCGAAAATGATTTGGGGGATTATAATAAGCAGCTAAGCCTTTTAAGCTTTTTTGGTCCTCCTTCATTTTTCTGCCACAAACTTTTTTTTACGAGATGAAAACAAATTCCATTTTACTTTGGGAGCCACCCTCTCTTATAGCAGCCAGAAAGGTGCCACCCTGGCCAGCTAAAATTTTCTAAATAATTTCACAGCGCCTTATTACGGAGGCCATTTGTTGGCTCCTTCGACTCGTTTGGGCCTTGAGATGCTGCAGGGCAGTCGGGCTGTGGTGCGGACCATGTAACAGGTTGCCAGCCCATCACACAGGAGATTAGGCAGTCGGACCTAAAAGGAGGAGGAGGCTAGAAGCGGGAATGGAGGAGAGTAACAGCTGTTACCTGTGAGCGAAGAGTGGCTTACCCTTTTTGCTGGCTCTTGACGGGGAAAGCTCTGGGAGAGCCCTCGATTTTTAAGCCATGTCAGTCAGTCCGGGCTCCGGACGCCGGAAGGACAGAAATAAGCCCTTGGAAGGGCCTGCCAGCTGGCTTTTCCCCTCACTAGCACATGCACTTGAAAAAAAGGTACAAGATTGTCAAAAATATGAGTTTGGCTTAAAGAGTTCCTAGGAGCCGATATAGTTTTTATGCCTTGTATTCTGGTATAATTTTAAAAAAGCTAGGATTAAAATTATTTATTATATATGCTAAGAACTCAGAAAAAGACTTACAATATTGAATATTTTCTTGCACCATTTCTTCTTGTATTTAAATACTTAAAAAATCTAATATTTGTAATACTTAATTCTAATTTATCTTTAAATACTTACATTGATAGTCTTTTCTCTAGAATGCCATTACAGAATTTTTGAAAGATTCTCATCTTATTCACCCTGTGGGACTGTTGCCCCAAATCACTGCGTTTTTTCGAGTGCACCCTTCCCAAGCGAAAGGCTGCTTTTGTACTTTGGAAAAAAGCAAATATTTGTATTTCTGCTTGAATGGCTGAACGATTGAACAGAGAGCGAAATTTGAACTGTAGCAAATCACACGCGTTTGATTGATGATTTGGCAGCGGCACGTGGGCGGGGGCGTAAGCCCTCCCACTCGAGAAGAATATATAACTCGGAATAAACCGAAAAAAGGTTGCTATTCAACCGAATGGGGGCGTGCACATGCCGTGTAGTCCCCACTCCTCGGGTATATCTTTAATATTTGTACAGCCAGGGAACGGGAAAAATAAAAACGAAATTCCGCAGAGCTGAGCTTAGTTTTGTTTTGTTTTGTGTCCTTTTTCCAGCCACATCCCCACACATAACTCACATTAATATGCATTGCCGATAAGGCAACACGTCGGGGCTGGGAGCTGTACATGTATAGGACTAGGTCCTGTTTTCGGCGTCGTTTCCTTGCCTCACCCCCGCCCCACATAATCAAACAAAAGCAATAAATCAACGCAAACGAAATGAATTTTGATTGTCATTGATTTATGTGCACTGCAGTTGGGGCACAAGTAACAACACAACAGGCCTGGCTGACCATTGGAGGACCCACGCATAATGGGAGCGATAATGATGACAGGAGCAGACGAAGGAAAGGTCCCTAAAAGTTTTGTGGCCCAGCTCCTATCTCGCCGCCCCGACCCCGGCGGGGCAATTCAATTAACTGTCATCGGATGACAATTACAAATGAAGATGGCCGAAGGCAGCAGGTGCTCCCAGGAAGAAAAAAATAATCCCCGAGGAAATCAACGTGAAATTAAGGATGACTCCAGGATGACTTAGGAAAACGCAGTTTGGAAAACGAAAATATTATTTTAAAGATACTTTCCTTTTGACTTCTGGCAGGCATCAGTTTAAAACTCCTTCAGTTTATATTGACGCTAACAATCACTTTCTATTACCCGAAGCCTCTAATGTAGCCATTTCCATTAAACTTTATTTCCTTTCGAGGGTCGGACAAACACAAATTATTGCCTTCCAGTGGGCCGTAAATTTCGTCCCCCCGCTCGTGCTGAAGAGACCCCGGCTAATTGTTAAAACTTTCAATTACCATGGTGACTTGAAGGACCCCTCGGCCAACTTTGAGCCCGCGACAGTGGCTGGCAAGTGTCAGCCAGTACGTCAGTGGCCGGACTGGCAAAAGTGAAAATTACATTTCAAGAGTAGTTGGCAAGTCGTCGGCTTTGCAGCACTTTTGTTTCTCTGTCGTACTTGACTGGGCCAAATTACTGGGGGCAGAACGAAGGAATCAACATAAGCGTTAAGGGCGCCTTGAACTTTGCGGCAGAAGCGACTCTTGAGGGCCTATTTGCGATAATTACACGGCGTATGAGTGATTTTAATTTAACGCAGAGATAAACACACGAAAGCATATCCCACACGACCTCGATACGAGTCCCACCCCCACATATACCATACCAAGAAGGCACTATTCGGTGTACATATGTACGGGCGTAGTAAGTACCTGGAACATGCTGTTCGTGTCGGTTGCTTTAAGTAGTTATGCAAATATAAAGCGCACAGCCGCCTTTTGACCTGAAAAGTCAATAGGAAAAACTCACACGGCCACAGCGCACTGGAAAATGCACACACACACACACAGGAGGCCACACTTATCCTTAAAATGAAGGACTTTTCTCCGGTGAAGGCCCGTCGAGAAGGCTGCTTTCGCCGGCCTGATAGCCAACACTGAGGTTTTTCTCGCACATTGCTGTGGCAATGCCGATTGCAAATGTCAAGTGCGGAGATTCATCAAGGATACTCTTGCCATTAAAAACACAATTATAAAAATAAGGGGAATATCACGTTAAGTTTAACCAACACAAGGTTTTTTCACTTAGAATGTTTAATGTTGAAAATAAATTCTGAAAAAATTGTGTAAAAAATGGGAATCGTTTAATTAATTATTATGCATTTTATTTAGGTACTCTGCAATCGGACAGCACAATATATCAACATACAACTAAGAGTCCTTAAAATTGGGAGAATATATTTAATATAAAATTAGTTCTACTTTGTATCAGTTTTAATAGTGTTGTCTGTATTATTTTGATTTTTTTAAATAAAAATAAACATTTTAAATACCAAGTTTATTTAATTATATACCAACTTGAATTTTTAAGAGAAAGTTGATGAGAATCAATCGGGTTACTCCTGTTCTGGTTATATGCATTCACAAACGCGCAGATTGGTTCCGCCACATTGGCCTGGTGCACTGCTGACCATGGAAGAAATAACAGAAATATGGGAGGGGAATCGAATTGCAAGAGTGTAAACTTAATTAAGAGCCTGCGAAGAGTTGATTTTGTTTGATTTACACGCCAGCAGCTGCATGCTTTAATTATACAGACGTGGGGCCTGGCCGGGCGGGCAGAAGAGCACTTGTTCGATGGGTCGGGTGGCAGTCGGGCAGTTGGCCCGACCCCTGGGCCGGACTCGAGGAGCCAGCTGTCGCTGATTACCCGCCAGGAAATGACCCACCGAAAAAGCTATGCTGGGCAGGAACAAAAAGGATCCGGGCTCCGGCATTTCATGGCTCATTAGGCATGCACATACGTTTGGCGCCCTTCGGTTCAGATTTCGATTCCTATTCGACTTCGAGGAGGCATCTCCTCCAGAGACCCCCCACTCCTTTGCGGAATCGTAACAAATTCAATTTTCTACGACGCCGATTTGGTTTCCGCACGTCTTAAGCCATCGTCGGCTACAGTCTGCGCCATGAATATAGTTATTGGAGTGCAAGTGTTTGTCTGGATGTCTGATTCCCCCACCCGTTGCCTCTCGTCGGTACCGATTGCGCAGTAAAATAAATGATAAGAATCTGTGCGAGCTTCTCATGAATTATAAATCGCAAAAAGGATTTGCCACTGGCTCAAGGCAAGAACGAGCTCCTTTCTCTGTCTCCCATGCAGCTGGCAGACTGCAGACGGTTTGTTTTCGCAGCATGCGGAGGACCCTTTGGAGAGTAGGACCTAGCCAGGGGGTTGGGCAGACCCAACATGGCTTGCTGAGCATTTTAATGCATTAAGAGGCTATTCCGGCCCTCCGGCAGCTCCACAGTGATTAGGAGAAATGCATTAATAAACTGGAGTATTGTTTCTAGAAATATTCAGGGACGCTGAAAGTCAATCAGAATAAATAAAACGCTTAAGGGGATGTACTTTTTATATAAAAGGTAGAATCTCTTCTCTTTATTACGACTATTTATTAATTTCAATTATTTTGTTAGGACTAGTCGATTATTCGATTATTATTGGCTATGTTCTTTACACGATTCAGATCTTTGACCTCGCCCTCAAGCGATCAACGTTTAAATGCTTACTAATACTAAATCAATTTTTACACTCGTCGTCTTCAGTTTTTACAAAGGAGGTGAGTCAAAGGAGTTTTCGCTCTATAAGTAGAAAAATTATTATCACCGTTGGTTATACTCGTTTTCGAAACTAGTTGGGACCTTGTTTGTTTCTACTTAGTCCTCGTTTGATTCGGTTCAGTATGCTTTTAGGAAAATATGCCACTCTAACACTCTAAGTAGACTAGGTTCTTGAAATTTATACAATAGATTATTGTTCTTAGTATTGTTTGTTATTGGTATCATAAACTTGCTTAAGATATTTTCCCGTAAGGTATTTCAGTTGTTTCGAATACAAAGTGGAGAGTTACAAGTCAAAAGGCAAAGAGGCAGGCGTGTTTTCGGTTTTGGTTAATTTTTTATAGAAGATTTAAGATAGGAGAAAAAGTAAGAGTGAGGAGACGGGACTGTGGTTCAAAACAGCCATAAATACATACATTTATATGTTTATTTTTGAAAAAAAAGTAGAAAAGCTTTAGTGCGGCAGTCGTTTCAGTTGGAGTACTCACACTCACTATCCCCTAAGTGTGGCAATACAATAAATCATGATCTCTACTGGTTTTCGGTTACAACTATTATGAGCACAATTAATTATGAGTTCGGCTGTTCGGCCCGACAAATTCCATTATTCAATTAATTCCTTTTCGTCTACCGCTCGTGAAATATGCTAAGGCCACGTTTAATTAATTTATAGTCTATACCTACTTAATGTTCTTGAGCTCAGCGGAATGGCGGGGGACATGCTGGCAGCCTGATTCCTTTTCCAGCATTTCTGGTACATCTAGTCAGGCTTTATTCAGGAAAAGTACAGTGAAGGAGAGGACAAATAAAGAAGCATAAATCGCCGTGAAAGGGTAATTGAAATAAAATTTCAGCAGACAATGTATACGCAGATGGGTGGAGAAAGCAGGCCAATGGTAGCTGGAATAGAAATAGTAAAAAATAACTGAAAATTGTTTTCCAAAAAGAAGGGCGAGCTCCCTGGGTTTCAATGGATTTGGGACTGCTACCCTATTATATCTACAACGTAATGCGGCGTAATCGGTAAACATAGGTTGGCTAAAAGCTAAGTATGTATATACATAGTATACAGAAGCAAGTTTTTACAAATATTTGCCTTCACTCCTAGTTGCAGTTCCAATGCTAGTGTCCAGAATCTTGAATCGTGAGCGGAAGGAGTGTCACTCCACTCAGTTCTTCTTTGTTGGCCCATTGAGTCCGAGGAGAGGGTGGCAACATTGGATGTTCCAGGCGTTCATTATCACGCAACGATGGCCGCCAGAGAGGCTGTGGAGGTTGATGAGGACCTGGATGATGATGATGGGTGGTGCAATGTGGTGGTAACTCGATGCTGATGCTGCTGGGACATTTTCTGCTTCGGGGAATGGGAATAGGGCTGGTATTGCGAAATCTGATGGACCGGAAAGCTCCAAAGAGCAAAAGGCATCTGCTGCTGCACCAACAAGAGCAGTTGCCGTAATTTGTTGGTAGTCGTTGTTGTCGCCATTGTATCTTGGACTGTTTTTGTTGCTGGCGTCGTTGTTCCTGTTGCTGCCGCCGTCTCACTGCCAATTCCCACGCCCCGACAGGCATCGGTGTCATTCTGCAGCCGCCTGGCGCAGCGCATCTGCATCTGCATCAGCTGCAGTTCTCCGCGCCGTCATTCATCCCAGAGGCACTGTTGTTTCTGGCGCACATAATAGGTAAACTGTGTGCACTTGCGGCAGGTCTTGATGCCGCAGCGGTAATTCGTTTGCTGTTGCTGCTGCGCCCCCGACGAGTCCGCCGCCACCTGGGTGCCCCTGCCTTTGCAGTACTTGAGCCCGCAGGGATACCACCCGATACAGGTCTCCAAGGTGCAGAGGCAGGGCGCCCACAGGCTGCTCACCTCGTTGCAGCGCGTCGAGAGCATGTCCGGGAACTTTTCGGTGGCTGCCTCGAGGCTGGAGATCGACGAGCCTGCACAAGGACAAAATAAAACCAAACCACATCGTAAATGAAAAAGTACAAAGATGTATCAATTTATTTAAAATTAAAACGTTTGCTAAAAAGTATTAATTTTGATGAAAAAAGGTTATGTTAAAAAAAATGAGAGTACTGCAAATAATTACCAAAACAAACAATTTTCCCCTCAAAGCCTTAGTTGTCCCTAAATGGCGTTTCTAGTTGGTGGGCCCAACTTCTAAAGCCCTTGTCGTAAAACATGACCTCCTTTTGAATTGCACGCAAACCTATCCTTCTGAGCAGAACATTAAAATGTAATAAAGTTTTCCATAACATGCTCCGTACTCGATTAGAATCAATTTAGATTTTAAAGAGTAGATTTTAATCTACAATATCAGGGACAGATTGAATATTTAACTAAAATATGATCTCTAAGAACCCCTCGGAAATCAAATGGAAGCAGGTCCGAATAAATGGACGTCTGACGAAATCAGTGCCAAAAGCTGGAAACGCCTTTAGGTAGTTATCGAGGAAATCCATCAAAATGTACTCACCCGGAAGCTCCGCCCAGGCCTTGAGGTCGACGTCCCGGACGTAGGTGGCGTCGGTGGCCTCGGCGCAGAGGCCCTGGAGATGTCTTGTGATGGGAAGGGAGCGGTTGAGCTGCACCCAGCTGCTCATCGTGTAGGTCTCCCGGCCCTTGTCCTCCTCGGGGGTGCGGATGGTGTGCGGATTCTTCTGGCGCAGCTTGGCCATCGCCGCCGATGAGATGAAGTCGCCCTTGTTGAACTTGGTGGCAAAGCACATGACCTGGTACTGGCTCTGGCCGCGCTCCTCCTCGCCCAGCACCAGGGCCTTGAGGATTTGAACCTCCTGCGGAATTGGAATTAGAAACACTTTCTGTCAGTTCACCTTAAAGCTTTCTCCCTCGGGTGGAGTTATCGCTTACACTGCGGAAGTCTATGACTTGGGTGATTAGCGTGCCGTCTGTCTTCTGGAACTCTAGCGTTATCAGGTCTTCGCCGATGTTGGAGGTGATACTTTCCTGGATTACCTCGCCGCCCTGCAAGAAGAACCAGATTAGAACGCAACAAGTGTCTGTGGGTTGCAAGGTACACCATCTGAAATATTAATAGCCATCACGATGGCTAAGGTCCTTGCTCTGTGGACTCTAATTTAGGTATGACAGTTCTCTTGGAGCTGGGCGGCCATGATCCAAATTAGAGTCAAGAGAGTTGCCAAATAAATAAAAAGGAAACAACACGGAGGGAATGGAAGCGAAGCGGAGATGAGCTTGGCGATGATTCAGGGTAGGACACATGTATACACGGGAAATTCTACTTGTCTCTCCACTACTCCTCGAAATGTAGTTCAACAAAGTGTGCCCTTACACGTGTACATGAACAAACATGCTGGCAATGGGTGTTATTGTTGCAAATACCCTAAAAGAAAGCATGTGCATTTTGCGATCCAAGTTGGCAATATATTTGTCATTTTTGGTAGAAATAAACCTGAAACATGTTATTGAAACATAAACATGTTATTTTATGCTTTTAAATTCCGTATTTTAATATTTAATTGTTATCCATTTTAAGAAAAATAACTTGGAAGTTTCTTTAACTTTTTATCTTGTCTTGGTGACCTCTAAACATGCTTTCGAAATGGATTTCCTTTTTGAAGAGTACATTCCATTTTTGAGGGGAAAATTATTTCAGTCCCCGTTGTTTGGGTTCTTTTTGCTGATGCTGGGTTTTATGGGTGTTTGCACAAAGGAGACTGTAAACAAAGAGTGGCAAGAAAGAGCGGGGAGGGGAGGACGAAGGTTAACCATCAGGCGGACGTTTTGGGGCCAGGGACAGAGCGCAGGTCACTGAAGTATGTTGCTTGTAAACAAATATGGCCAGAGAACTCGGGGAGATGCACGCCAAGGAATGCACTCATATTCAAAGGCAAGTACTAATTTGGGATTAAGCTTCAACGGATAGGATACCTGGTATCCTAGAAATAAAAACAAGAACTGAGTGACCAAGGGCCACTATGACTGTTCTTTGATATTTTAATAACTCTGATTCCTCGGAGACAGGAAGCATTGAGCTTCAAAAATAGCATATGAAAATAGGCACCAGGATGACAGTTCCGGGCCAGGGACACGGTGCCCAACAATGAAGAATGTCGCATGTAAACAAATATGGCCGCAGGCCGAGCAGGGGGGAAATGTCAAACAAAGAGTGAAAGAGAGGGCCTGAGCTTTTTGTTGCTGGCTGGCAGCCTCCGCTACAACCCCACCGAGGTTTTCGGCCAACTAATCTTAAATTTATGGAAAAGCCGAAAGCAAAGTGTCAATATTGGAGGAGTCAAGCAACAAACTAATATCCCATCCAAAAGCGAATTGGCGGAAAAATGAAATCAGTTTTGACATTGAGTTACATTTCGGAGGGAGTTACTGGGTCACAGGTCGGGAAAGTAAGCTTTATGCAAAATAACTTATTTCTAAAAAACAAGAAATTTTTTTTTTTCAATTTAATATTTTTTTTGTTTTGTTTTTAATGTTTTTATAAATACTGAAATGCAAATTAGTGAGAAAAAACATTTAAATAATTTAAATTTAGATATTCCTAGCTGGTTAAGCTATATGTCCTTTAAAGTGTGGGCTAGATTATTTAGTTACTGTGGCTTAAATGCCTAGATTTTGTTTGTTTTGTTCGACTCGCGCGCTCGCGTTCTCACTCTCTCCGCCTCTCTCACTTTTCGCCGTTGTTTTGGTGCGCTCATATTTTCGAAATTAACAGTTCGAAAAGCAGATGGGCAGCGCCGCGGTCGGTATTTATTATTATTTTAGGATTCGCACCTGATTCTGGACGTTGATTAGCAGCTGGGACTGGATGGGGGGTATGGCGACCAGCAAGTTGCACAGCAGGAACCACAGGAAGGCGCGACTTTGCTTGAAGTAGTGGTGGCGGCTGACGACGCGACCGCCGCACCGACGGTTGCCCGCCATCAGGCTACGGTAAAACTGGTGCAAGGGCTTTTGCTCCTGCTCGCCCGCTGGCTGGAAGTGCAGGTCCCGCTTGTGCGAGAACCGCCACCGGTAGTGCGACTGGCGCACAGCGAGGCATGCATTGGAGATGCCTTGCTGAGGATGTTCCACATCCAGAATCATTGTACTCACGACTCACTGCACTGAACACTTTTCACTTTCTGCCGACGCGCGTGCTATTAGATGTGATGCGACACGATTCCTTTTGATCCGGGCGAGAAAATAAAACGAACTGCTGGCGAACCGCTCGCTTCGGAGAAATGAAAAGAAATGAAAAGAGACGACGTCGGGAAACGCTTGGGCCGTCAACTCGAAAAATGTGAAAGTATTGCAAACCGTACAGAATACCAAGAGAATTCAAGCCTATTAATCAGCTGACACAATGTGACCGTGGAAAAATACCAAATTAGAGCTGCCCACTTGCTTCCCGCGTTATATGTAATGCAGCCCTGCAATGTCAAATTTAAAATTCGATGTCAAATAAATCAGCACCGATCTCTTTAAAATTTGGCAGAATGTATTTTTGTGATGATTTTTTTACTAGAAGCTTTGCTAATAAAATGATTCTCTCTATAACCAAAACAAGTTTTGCAAAGGGACAACATTTTTTCTATATAAGAAATATTTAGGTCTATATATACGTATATACTTAAATTGCTTATATTATATATATATATTTTTATATGTTTCAAAATTAATTAAATTAAATAGGGAACTGTTAATAAAATAATAGTTTAGTTTCGCAAAAAAGTTGCGTACAATTTTATAAAATTATCTTTGACTTATGCATTTAAAATGTAAATTTTACATTAAAATGTATGTAAGTATGTAGAACTGTATATACCAGTGCAGGCAACTTAGCAATTTAGTTCGGTCCGACCGATTTTGTTAACAAAGCAGAAAAATCAGTCTCTCTGAAGCAGTTTAGCACGACACTTGTAACAACTAGTTGCCCGTTGAAAGGCACTAACTAAAAGTGTTATTCTGAATTGGCGATAAAACAAAGTTTGTACATAACAAAAATAACTTAAAATCGTTTTTTTGGGGGAAAAACAATCGAAGCTTCTATATTACCCTCTACGACCGACCATACTATCGATACAGTAGGGAAGCAGAATAAAAATTCTACAAAAATTGGTCGATTTGGCAGCATTAGTTTTTCATATATAAATGATCTATAGAAATAGTTTGGCTATAGAAATATAAATAATCTATAGAAATAGTTTGGCATCAAAAAGTTCCGAAATTTGCGATTTGTGGAGCCAGTTTTGACAAGGTTTTTCAAAAACTTTTTCTTTTGCCAATAATAGAGACATACCCATATTTATGCAAGTTCCCATACACGCGGTTTTAAAGTGATTCACATACACCTACGAATAAGCCAAATCGGATAATTTTTAGAAAAGTTATAGACTGTTTGGTCTGCTTCCCTACTGAATCGGTAGTATGGCCGTAGGGGTAGAGGGAGCTGCCGTTGTTTTTTTTTGTTCAAGCGCAAAAGTATGCAACAAAGATTGTTGCTGAGAATCCGTTAAAGCTTAAACTTTAAAGGTTAGTTAAATTGTGGATGGAAGAGATGAGTACCGGGTATAATATAGTCGGGAAACTCAACTATAGCCGTTCGTTCTTTATTTTATACCCTTACAGAGGGTATTATAATTTTGGTCGAAAGTGTTCAAAGCAGTAAAGGAGACCGTTTTCAGAAGGTATGCAAGGTAGTAACATTTTTATCCGTTTTCGGCAGACTTTACATCATATTTAATATATCAATATAAATTTGACAATTTTTTTCGAATTCTTATAGAGACAATCAAAAGCTTTAAGGTTTGAAATATTCCGGTATATGAGAATTGATAAAAATGTTGCGAAAGCAAATAAAATTTTGAGAATAGAATTAATCATATCGAAAAATAAAGGTAATTTCATAATTTATTAATTTTAAATTTGTAATTAAATTGATTTAGTATTTAACCATTTTTTAATTTTGGTATTTTTTTTGTTATACTACCAGCCGTTTTTTGAATCAGCTGATTTCTCCACTATGGGCTAAATTTTGCCAAAACGCGTTGCCTCGTATTTGCTTGTGACGTGTTGTTTTTTTGTAAAATATGTTTTTCATCCAATAAACTGGGAATTAACTATTAGATTATCCCTAAAACCAATCCCAATCTCCGCCAGCGACACATCAGACATAATGCTGACCCTGCGGGACCGCCAAATCAGTGAGTAACTGCGAAAACATGTTGACTCCAAAGTTAATAGGAGTTTTCTCAATAATTTCCAGATGCCATTAAGCAGATGCTTAATTTAAATTCGCAGCAGCCAAAGGCCTTGGCAGCTGAGCCTGTGTGGAAGATCCTAATTTACGATCGGGTGGGCCAAGACATTATTTCGCCCATCATTTCTATCAAAGAGCTCCGTGAATTGGGCGTGACTTTGCATGTGTGAGTGGATGGTCAATGGGGTTCCTTTCGAGCCGGCAAATGATTATGTTAATGCTTTTAGCCAACTGCATTCTGATCGCGACTCCATTCCCGACGTGCCGGCAATTTATTTCTGCCTGCCCACCGATGAGAATCTCGACCGGATCCAACAGGACTTCTCAAATGGCCTGTATGATGTCTACCACTTGAACTTCCTGGCTCCGATTACTCGCAGTAAGATCGAGAACCTGGCAGCTGCGGCACTCCATGCCGGTTGTGTGGCTAACATTCACCGCGTTTATGATCAGTACGTGAACTTTATTAGCCTGGAGGATGATTTCTTTGTGCTGAAGCACCAGCAAAGCGATCAACTCTCCTACTACGCAATCAACCGGGCCAACACTCGGGACGAGGAAATGGAGGCGCTAATGGACGCCATTGTGGACTCCTTATTTGCCCTGTTTGTCACGTTGGGAAACGTTCCGATCATCCGATGTCCACGCAACAGTGCCGCTGAAATGGTCGCCCGTAAGCTGGAGAAAAAGCTGCGCGAAAATCTCTGGGATGCGCGGGCTAACCTGTTCCATATGGACGCTACTCAGGCAGGAGGAGGGGTGTTTAGCTTCCAGCGACCGGTTCTCCTACTGCTCGACAGGAACTTGGATCTGGCAACACCACTGCACCACACATGGTCGTATCAAGCGTTAGTGCACGACGTCTTGGACTTGGGATTGAATCTTGTCTACGTGGAGGATGAGACAGCAACCGCTGGTAATTAATAGACTTTGCTTTTACGTTTGTGATTTCAAGACATTTTAAAAAAAATTTAATTCAAATAATATTGCAGGGGTCCGGAAGAAGCCAAAGGCCTGTGACCTGGACCGTAACGATCGGTTCTGGGTGACACACAAAGGTAGCCCGTTTCCCACAGTCGCCGAGGCCATCCAGGAGGAGCTGGAGTCTTACCGCAACTCCGAGGAGGAGATCAAGCGCTTAAAGACGTCAATGGGAATCGAAGGCGAGTCTGATATTGCCTTTTCGCTGGTCAACGATACCACTGCACGGCTGACTAATGCTGTTAATTCTCTGCCCCAGCTTATGGAAAAGAAGCGGCTGATAGATATGCACACCAAAATCGCCACTGCCATTTTGAACTTCATCAAGGCACGACGGTTGGACTCCTTTTTTGAGATCGAAGAGAAGATCATGTCGAAACAGACACTGGACAAACCGTTGCTAGATCTGCTTCGCGATTCTGAATTTGGCCAGGCAGAGGACAAGCTGCGTTTGTACATTATTTACTTCATTTGCGCACAGCAGCTTCCCGAATCGGAACAGGAACGGCTCAAGGAGGCGCTCCAGGCAGCCGGCTGCGACCTGACTGCTCTCGCGTATGTGCAGCGGTGGAAGGCTATTATGAATCGCTCCCCGGGAATCAGTCAGGGCACACAGTACGAGGGCGGCGGGACCAAAACAGTGTCCATGTTTTCTAAGCTCGTATCTCAGGGTAGTTCCTTTGTGATGGAGGGTGTAAAGAACCTGGTGGTTAAGCGGCATGTAAATAAATTAATCACTTTTATAAAGTATGCATTAGTATTAATATCAACCTCTTTCAGAATCTTCCCGTGACAAAAATCACCGAACAGGTGATGGAGTGCCGCAGCAATGCAGAGACCGATGACTATCTGTACTTGGATCCTAAGCTCCTAAAAGGTGGGGACGTACTGCCAAAGAACCGTGCTCCGTTCCAGGATGCCGTTGTTTTTATGGTCGGCGGCGGTAACTACATCGAGTACCAGAACCTGGTGGACTTCATCAAACAGAAGCAGACCTCCAATGTGCAGAGACGGATCATATACGGCGCCTCAACCTTGACCAATGCAAGGCAGTTCCTCAAGGAGCTCTCCGCCCTGGGCGGAGAGATTCAGTCGCCGACGGCGGCGAGTTAGGATCAACTGCCCTGCTTCCATTGCTGTTGAGCGGAGTGGACAGGTATTGAGTTGGACTGGGCCGGCGTGCAGTGTGTCTGTGTGGCTTTTTTCTTTATATTTAAGCATATCCAAAAATAAATTAAATGCCAGGCAAAAAAATGTAATAATAAAAAAGAATACTAGCGTACAGAAAAGGAGAACACAGCACTCGGCAATTACTCCAGCCTGACGCTTAATCCCCGAAGGACAACAAGCAAAAACATGCGTAGCCCCGTGTACAACAAGCTGGGGAGCTGCTGCTGGAGTTGCAGTTGCAAGGCGGCCGACCGATGGTGAGGAGGGGACACGCACTCGCATTCTAGGCACCCATTAACACCAACTTGGCAACGCTTTGATGGACAGCTGACAGACAACCAGTCAGCGGATGAGGCGATGATGGCACCAGCCCCCCTCCCATCTCCATCTCCTGGCGACCGCCTTCCGATGCCATCGGCGGCGTTGCCACAATTATGGGGCGACAACTATGCGCGGCACTTGGGGACAGAGCAGAAGCTGCTAGGGACAGACCCGGCAATTAGCACTATCCCTGACCAACTATGAATGGACAATCGATGGCTGAGTACTGGAGCTCTGGGCTGATTGAAAGTGGATGTTCAGGGAAGGTGATGGGCGGGGAGACTTCAAGTCAAGTCAATCAAAGACGGGCGTTAAATTTAAGATACTCGTGTTTGTGGTTCAAATTTTCTAAAACTATTTGAAACACAAATTTTATTTCTTATTGAAGTAAAAAGTTGATGATGAAGTATTGACGTTTTTAATCTGAAACAGAAATAAAAACTTATATAAAATAATTTTTATAAAACCTTACTCAACGCTCTACTCAATCTAATGCTACGTATCTAATGTTCCAATTGAAAGTTTTCTGAAAGCTTTAATTTGAAATGTAAAAGACAAAATGTAAAGGCAATGTT